TGGCTTTGGGGTGAAATGTTCTGAAGGTATCAATTAATCCAACTGATCTAGTGAGTCATTTAGGATTGATGTTTCTTTGATGATTTTTTGTTTAGAGAATTTATCCTGTGGTGTTAGTGGGGTATTATAGCCCCCTACTATAACTGTATTGCTGGCAATCTCTCCCTTGATATCTTCCAGAAGTTTTTTTTATGTATTTGGGTGCTCCTATATTGGGTACATATATGTTTACCAGAGTTATATCTTCTTGTTGAGTTGCTCCCTTTAGTATTATAAAGTGGCCTTCCTTATCTCTTGTTATGGCCTTCACTTTGAGGTCTAATTTGTCAGATATAAATATTGCTACCCCAACTTTTTTTTTTTCATTTCCATTCCCCTGAAAAAAAATTTTCCATCCCTTCACTATCAGTCTGTGTGAGTCCTTTGTTCTGAGTTGGGTCTCCTGTAGACAGCTGATATATGGGTCATGTTTTCTTATCCATTCAGCTACCCTATGTCTTTTGATTGGGTCATTTATTCCATTTATATTTAAGGTAATTATTGATAGATACTTGTTTGTTGCCATTTTTATTCTTTTCGCCTGTGTTCCTACTGCCTTGACTTAGAGGCACAAAATACAACTCAGTAAGACACAACATAGAGGGCATAAAACACAAATGTATTCATGATACCAATAACCCCAAGTAAAGCTGATCGCCAGGGGAAGGAGAATTAGGGTATAGAAAAGAAGTAGAAAATAATAATTGAAAAAATTAATTTAAAAATATATTAAAAATCTATAATAATAAAAGCATAATATGCAAATTGATAAGGGACCCCCCTCATGTCAATGAATTTTGTGCACCAGGCCTCTAGTGTATATGTGTGTGTGTGATACATATATATATATATATATGAAAAAAATATATATATACAAATTTTTTCCCCTTAATCTATGTATTCACCTATTTCTAGAAAAGGAAACTAGAAAGCAGATAGGCCTGAGTTGGTGATTGAAACTAAGCTATTAGTAGAAGAAGAGAACATGCGAGGAGAGAAAAAACAAAAGCAATAAAATAAAAAACAAAAAATACAAACACACAATAAGAAAAGAAAAAAAAATTGGCTAGTGAAGAAAGAGAAAAGAGAAGTGTGTATGGCCTTGAAGCAGGGGAGAGGAAGTTAGATGTATAAGTAGGCCAACAGAGACTACTTTAATAGTAATACGTCAATAAAGCCAATAAAGTAGATCAATTTTTAACAGTAAAAAGGAAGGATAGAGAAAAGTTAAAGCAGGAGAAGAGAAACAGAATGAAAATGGAAAAAGTGAGGAAGAAAGTGTTAGCATAAAGGAAAAATTGAGATAGAGTAAAATAATGATAAATAAAAATAGAATGTAGAACACTACTCCAAAAAAATAAAAATTTAAAAAATGGTAAAAAAATAATAAATAAAAGTAATAAAAAATAAAATAAAGTGAAAAAAATTTTTAGTTTCTTAAGTAAAAGATAACAAAAAAGTGAAGTAGTGAAGTTCATTAGCTTCATCGGAGCTTCAGTGTCCCATGGGGCCTGGTTTAAGACCCCTCTCTGCTGTTCTGCCTGCCACATCTCAGTTTGTCAGATAGCACAGTGTTGAAGTTTCCAGTGATCCACTGCTCCTCTGCCATGACTTTGGTTTCAAGCAGACAGAATCAGTCTGCCCACTTTGTTTTTCTGCCTGCTTTTAGTTGTTTTACACAAGTGCCTATTTCTGACATGGCCCCTAGGTGGCGGTTTTTCTGTATTAATTTCTGGGACCAAATGGCCCCTCAATCCAGTCCCCCAGGGCTCCCTGGGGATATTTAGAATCTTCCTTTCCCTGCTGCGCTCAAGACTGGGTGCGGCTGCGCTCCTAGGAGGAGCCTTGTCCTCAGGAGAAAAATGTTCAGTATTGAGGGATGGACTGTCCCAGAGCTGGCTTCCTGCTCCTCTCTCCCTCTCTATTCTGCTTCCCAGTTTCCACAAAAACCACCTTCCCCTGCAGTCTCGGTGAGTGTCAAAAGTTCCTATGCACTGGGTTTAGCAAGTGAAATGTTTAAAAGACAGCAACCATGCCGCCTTGCGCCTTTCTTCCCCAGGCACTGTGCAACTGGTATAGAACTTTAGGCTGCCTTTCTGGGTGCAGTATCCCATGGCTGTGGGCTTTGATCTGGAGTCCCCCACTGCCAGCAGTCCTGTGGACTGCTACATTCGAAGGGCTACACTGACCTCAAGAGACAGGGATTTGGTGCAGTGCATTCTCCCTCTGAGACCCTAGTCCCGGCTGCACACATTTCTCTCTCTAGCCCAGATCCCCAATCTCACCTCTCTCCAGGTGATCTCTGACCTTTCCATCCATGGATTACCTCACCAGCTGTGTTTAATTCCCCAATTTCGGGTGGTTCTTATTCGATTCAGCTGTTTCTTCTGTCTCCTCTGTTAGAAGGCACAGGACCCATCCGTCTATTCAGCTGCCACCTTGTCTCCCCCTGGACAAACTTTTTAGGCGCCTGTGGCCAGGTAGGCTGGAGTCTCAGTGTTCATGGGTTCGCAGCTGAGGCAGCTGGTCCTTGGGCGTTGTGGCTGCAGGGTCCCAAGTAGTATCTGAGGTCTCCCAGAGTAAAGGTAAAGCTAGGCTTCCTATCACAGCCGCTCTCCTCTTCAAGATGGCACGGTCTCTGTGGCAGAGCCGGCCGCTCCGGGAGAGATTGCAGTGGTGGTAGAGGCTGCCTGGCCAGGGGAGCCTGGTCTGCCAGTCCCCAACCGTCCTATGGAATATAACTGTCCCTCACTCACAAATACACACACTCCCTGCACATCCACGAACTCACCTTTCACTCTTGCACTCACTCACACTATCTTGCTCACTGCTGTCCTGTCGGCCACCATCTTCCCTGCTCCCAGTTGTAGGACTTTCATTTAGCCAGCTTTCCAGCAGTTCTGGATAATGGTTGTTCTGCATTTTAGTTGTAATTTTGATGTGGTTGTGAGAGAGGTGGCAAGTACAGGTGTTTACCTACACTACCATCTTCCGAGAGCTGTATCCATTCCTACTGTTCTTTCCTGCAACATCTTAAACCACCCTCCAACTAAACACAGGTGAGGCTGTATGCATTTAAAGCCCAGCTTACTTATCTATTTCTCACTTTTCCCACTAGCTCTCTATCCATTTCCCTCTGGGTCTTTTTGGACTTTACCTCTACTGAAGAAATCTTTCCTGACTTGCCTCTGCCCCAAAGACTGGATTAGGGGTCTCACCTCTATGCTTATCCCTATCACAGCATCTAGCACAGTGTATTGTAATGGTATGTTTTCTGGCCAGTTTTCTCCTTACACCATAAAAGCCTCTTCCATGTGCAGGACATATTGTGAGTTAGATATATATTAGTTTTTTTTTTATTATTAACTATATTCACCTAGTTTAAAGCCCAAAAAGTATTAACAAACATATATCAGTAGAGACTTGAGCACATGGTCTCTTTCTGTCATTAAGGAGATTTGGGGGACAGAATATACACATGAATACATGTGGTATTGACTCAGTGATGTCAATGTGGTATGCCAGGTGAGTTACTAGTTGCTGAGTCAATTAAGGAAAGCTTTATTGGAAGAAGTAGGACCTAGTTGAGTAGTGAGTGAATATGGTATCTTGTGTGAGAAGATAAATAGATGTGTTGAGGACTACTATGTGGGAGGAGGAGGAATACAGCAGAAGGGAATGGAGAAATAGGACTTGGAGAAGTACTGGAAGTGGGTGAGAAATGTGGACAAGATGAAGTAGGAAGATAGAATCTAAGAGGAAAATGAGAAATGCTAAGAAAATGAGTCACTCAAAAGGATCACCTTGATCCAATGAGAAGAATCTTAAAGGAGGAAGAGGGAGAGTCCATAGAGGACCATTATGAACAGAAAGGCACATAAATAAATATAAAGACACCTTTTGACATTTGTGGCCTAACCCAAGGCCCCATGGAAAATGGCCACCTTATTCTTCCTTAGCTGCTGGATCTAATTGGACTGCTGTTTCCTATAAGTTGTGACTCCTTTCCTCCAATGGTATAGTGGTTTCCTTTAAGCTTTCTTTTCATTTGCTAATTCATTTATTGGACCTGCATACTGGCAATATGACTACATATTTATAAAATACCACTCCAACCAACAGAACTTAGATGCTCCTTTAAAGTCAATTTTAATGAATTTTTGCTTTCTGTTGTGGTAAGACAGGAATCCTGATGTTATACTTAAGTCATAACTAGTTGGAATTATAGATTATATCGGAGCTCATCAAAAGAGTTTTACCCAGGCTGTTGTTTTAAATTTGAAAGTCTTTTGATATACATAATAAGAAACTCATTGAAATCTGAAGTTTGTCCTTTTAGGAGCTGAGTATAAAAGAAGACCAATTCAACTATTAAAATGAAGTAAAAATACAGTCATTTCTTTTATAATTAATGTTTATTCAGTTCAGATTTTGAAACCTATATTTAAATATTTTAGAACTGAAATGTTGGAGAAAAATTCTTAGTGGTTAATTACATCATACTTATAATACTGCTAGAAGTAATTTCTGCATTGTTTTGTTCAGGAGAACCAAAGTATTAAATTTTATTCAGTGGTGGTCAGACGGCCCACCTTTCCGATGAAAAATTGGTGAAATTATTTTTTAGGCTCAAAATGGACTTATGCTTATGAAAACAATGGACATTTTAAAGAACAAGACAGCATTTATACGTAACAGTTGTTATATATTGAATGTCTTAGGGGGGGGCGGGGCTTGGCTTGATTCCCCCCATCCTTAAGACCTTTACAGCCATAATCAATAAATTATAGTACATTGGTTATTGAAAAAGTTCACCACCACATTGTTAAAATGTTGTTGTTTTACTTTGTGTTTTAAATGGACGTTCAACCCTTTTTAATAAGCTTACATGGTAGAAATACCAAAATAATAAAAATTTATATGTGTTCTTCCCTTAAGCATGTGTGTGTTTAATCTTACAGGCTGTAGAAAATCTCTGTTCTTACAAGATTTCTGCAAACTTGTACAAACAGCTGAGACAGATTTGTGAAGATCACATCAAAGCACAGATTCATCAGTTCAGAGAATATCCTTTTAAAAACAAAACATCTTGTATTTTTATCATTTATTCTCTTTCTATCCTTCACTATTTAATCTAGCTTGAAATGGAATACAGTCAAACCTCATTTCTCCAATGTCTCCCATCTTGAATAATTCAGTTCTCAACCAAGTTGTTTACAAAAATAGTATCTTGGTTGTTGAACCAACTTCCTTGGTTTTTGACCTGACAACCCTTTCATGCTTGTACAAAGGAGAGAATGCTTTTGTTGCTGGTGAAATTCCACAATTAGTACAATTTTAAAACATAAAGAGGCCATTGAGAATGCTAAATGTTGCTAAGGGTGTGAAAGAAACAATGATCATGAGCAATTGGAGAGGTAGAAAAACGGTTGTTGATTTGGATAAACGAAAAGCAGTTAGCCCGTGACAGCATTTCAGACAGTGATAATGTGAAAAAGCAAAGATATGCTGTATGTTGACCTGAAAGACACCTATAGAACAAGAGCTGAAAGTGATTCCTTTAAGGGTAGTAGGGGCTGATTTGATAAATTTAAGAAAAGAAGTGTTGATTTATAGATTTTTAAGCAATACATTAGACATGTACTGTATATAAGAAAGGTCTGGAACGGATTAATTCAATTTACATGATTTCTAATGGAAAAAATGAATCAATTTATGAACAAATTGCTTCTTGAACAGCCTTCTGGAATGAAGTAAGTTTGAGAACTGAGGTTCCACTGTAGCTGTGTTTTGTAGATTTAATTTTATTTTGCTTCTAGAGAAAATTTTTTTAGCTTTAATTAGGATCTAAGTCTAATATGTGGTATTAATGTAAATAAAATGTTCTTGCATTTTTACCCTTTCCTAGCCCTAACAAATTTCCATTTGAGGAACGATAATTTAAGGAAATGACAAACTAAAAACACAATGCTCAGTTATGTTTAAGATTTGTTTTTTTTTAAATACATTTTAATTTATTTCAGAGAAGGGAGAGGGAGAGAGAAACATCAATAATAGAATCATAGATCAGTTGCCTCCTGCACGCCCCCTACTGGGGATCAAGCCTGCAACCCAGGCATGTGCCCTTGCCTAGAATTGATCCCAGGACCCTTCAGTCCATAGGCCGACACTCTATCCACTGTACCAACCCAGCTAGGACAAGACTTGTTTTTTAGGTATTTTTAGTGAGATACAATATTTTTACAGTTCAAGAAATAGCATTTTTTTCTATAATTAAGTACTATTTAGTTTCATTAGTATGTAAGGTATTCCAAATTTAAGACAAATGTGCTCTTACTTTGCACATGCCACTTGTACTAAGCACTTTAAAATGTCCTTGACGTACATCTCACGGATTCATTGGATAGTGTTCTTTTTCTAAAGAAAATTGATAGATGCTGGCAGAACCACTGTAGACAAATGGTAAGCTGTAAAAAGTATTACATCTCAGCTAAATATTGTAGTTAAAAAAATTCTTTAAATACGGGAATGTTAGTTTTAAAAGCTATGAAGTAGGGGCCTGCCTCAGTATCTGTTCTTCTGAATTGGAAACTAATTTTGGCTTTGTTTTCTGTATTGAAAATGCAAGTTATAACTAAGCAAGCATTTAATTTTTTTTAATGTTCATTGATTTGAGAGAGAGAGAGAGACATTGATGTGAGAAACATTGATTGATTGCCTCCCGTACATGCCCCGACCAGGGATCAAACCCAAAACCTAGGTATGTGCCCTGACCAGGAATTGAACCTGCAACTCTTTGGTGCCCAGGCCAATACTCTAACCATTGAACTACACCGCCCAGGGCTTGATTCCCTGTTTTCTATTTTCAGTTCTCTTTTTTTAAATTTATTGATTTTAGAACGAGATATATATACACATACACACACACACACACACACACACACACATATATATACATATACATACAGTAGGTTCTCAGGTTACATCGGAGATCTGTTCCTATGGCACAATGTAACCGATTTTTGCCATTAAGTCGGAACCCACATGGAGCACATACACAGCAGTAATGAAGTGAAACAGTAAAAAAATGTAAAAGAAAGATAATAATTCCTGACCTTTACTTGTGGAAAATAAATAATAAAAAAAACATAAAGCACATATGTACATATGTTGAAATGACTAAACTTTTTTTTTATAAATAAATGGGAGATGGCGATGTAACCACGAAATGATGTACGTCGAGTCCGACCTAACCCGAGGACTGTCTGTGTGTGTGTGTGCATGCGCGCGCACACACACACACACACACACACATACATACATATATATTGGGTGTTCTACTTATTTATGCATTCATTGGTTGATTCTTGTATGTGTCCGGGACAGGGATCACACCTGCAACTTTAGTATATTGGGATGATGCTCTAACTAACTGAGCTACCCCACCAGGACCTCTGTTACTTCTCAAGTTACAAAGAAGTCATAGGATCATTTTAAGTGCCCCTTTTCTGGAAACTACAGAAGGATTAAGATAATAGACTAGTTTAATAAAAATGGTATGGGCATATTCTATGGTATGTCTGTTCATCTGTATGTTTGATCCTAGTAGTCTAGTATATATTAAAGCGAATCCTGCAATTTTATTCTTATTTTATTGAGTTGCAAGTATTTCAGCCTCACAAAATATAAAAATTGCTTGATTTCTTTCTTTTTTTATTGACAGATCATGATCAGGAGCATTTTTTTGTTTCTGGATAGAACTTACGTTCTTCAGAATTCAATGCTACCCTCCATTTGGTAAGGATGCTAGAAAAATATTTTGAAAAGATTTGTTACAAATCATTGTCAAATCTTAATTACACTAATTGAAGAGATTAAGTGATACTGTGAATATTCTCCTAAAACCTCACATTTGGCTTCTTAAAACATTTATAGCAGTTTTACCTTCTTATGTTTTATGCTAATATTAGAGATAGCTTACATTCACTGAGCCTATAATAATTTATAAAGTTTTTCTATGGGAATTAAAGTTTATCTTTGAAATCTTTGGGCCGATTAAAATTCAGTGGGTGTGCATAGTAGAAACTGTTTCTATGCTCCCCTATATATTACCAAAATAAGGAGTTCCTGTAAGCAGCACAGATAATTTCTTTACCTTCCTAATAAAAGCAGAGAAACTTGAAAAAGGCAGCCACGGCAAGACTTTGGAGATATAGAGATAGATAGATAGATAGATAGATAGATAGATAGATAGAGATAGATATATCTATATGTATATATTAAAGAATTAATATGAGTGTATATTATTTTGTTGCTGATCAAAAATGTGCTTATTATCCTTTTGTTGTTAATCCTTACCCAAGGATATTTTTCCATTGATTTTTAGAGAAGGTGGAAGGGAGCGGGGGAAACAGAGAGAAACATGGATGTGAGAGAGACACATTGATTCAGTTGCTTGGGGCCTGCAACTGAATACATGCCCTTGACCAGAATCAAACCCATGACCCTTCAGTCTGAGGGCTGACTTCTCCATCCACTGAGTCAAACCAGCCAGGGATGCTCATTATCTTTTAACAATTTTATGGAAAATTCCAGCTATACAGGAAAATAGAATAGTGTAATGAGCTCTTCCCCCGCCATGTGTACCTAGCATCTACCTATAGCAATTATCAGAGTTGCTGATTTTTGAGTACTAAAGCCAGATGACAAATGACCAATTAAGCCTTCATTAACAGTACAGTGAAGACCATTTTATAACTTTGAACTAATTTTATCTCTTAATTTGATCAAGGAAGAAATCCACCAAAGGAGATAATATAACAAAACTTAGTTATGGAGGAAGATAGGAGTTTAGCCTTAGTTCTCATTAGAGACAAAATGAGTTTCCTGTATACTTTAGTTTAATAATGTTATTTAAAACTAAGAGGCCCAATGCACGAAATTCATGCATGGGTAAGGTCCCTAGCAGCTGCCAGCTGGGGCCTTCCTTCCCTGGCTGCCAGCTAGGGCCTTCTTTCATTCCACGCCACCCCCTGGTAGTCAGCACACATCATAGCGAGCGATCAAACTCCTGGTCGGTTGAACTTCCAATGGGACACTTTGCATATTAGGCTTTTATATATATGGATTCAATGTGTGGATTTTATCATGTAATTTTACAGTGGCTGTTTCAAAGCCTGGAGCCCTAATTAACATGTATGTCTCTCCAGAAGTGGTATTGCTGTCAATTAATTTAGATTATATTTTTATTTTAGGGACATGGGATTGGAGTTATTTAGGGCTCATATTATAAGTGATCAAAAAGTCCAGACTAAGACAATTGATGGCATTCTTCTGTTGATTGAGAGAGAGAGGAATGGTGAAGCAATTGATAGAAGTTTACTCCGAAGCCTTTTAAGCATGCTCTCTGACTTGCAAGTAAGTTAACTACTTCACTTACTACAGAGCTGATGTTTATCCCTAGTTTGATGTGTAAAAACCAAATTAATAGTGCTGTTTACATAAAGAACATTCAATAAGTAGCTAATGAATAAATAAACTCCATTATTTTGTTTCTCCCTCCCAGATTTATCAGGATTCTTTTGAACAACGATTTTTGGAAGAAACTAACCGGCTTTATGCAGCTGAAGGCCAAAAATTAATGCAGGAAAGAGAGGTATTTAAAAATCATGATTAATAAATCCACTGTATCTCACAATAGACCTTACTTATAGAACATAAGCTGCCCTTTGCATTTATCTTCCCAACATTGTGATGCTTTTCTCTCACTTAGGTGCTCCTTTCTTTTCTCTCTTCTTAAAGGCCAGAATTCTGGATCATAAACTCTACCTATAATTTTACATATGATTCAACCCTGCCACATTTGGCAGGGCTGCTTCCAGGATCTTTTGGACTTGACATTTTCTGAATGATTTATGGGGAGGAAAACAATAATATAAAAAACTATCTTTGTAGGTTCCTGAATATCTTCATCATGTTAACAAACGTCTAGAAGAAGAAGCAGACAGACTTATTACTTACTTAGATCAAACCACCCAGTAAGTATGACAAGCTCTGCCTAATAGCCTTAACCTGTGTTGTTGAATTGCTTAAGGCACTTTAGGCATCCCAACCATGTTAGTAACTATTTTCAGATGTGAATTGAGATTGCTTAACAATTGTTTTTATAATACAAGCTTCAAGTTGTTATTTGATTAAGGTTAAGGATATGATTATTGGTTGTGTGTATGTGTTTAGGGTGTAATTTAAAAATAATGTTAGAAACTTGTTATCTTTGAAATCTTTGGGCCGATTAAAATTCAGTGGGTGTGCATAGTAGAAACTGTTTCTATGCTCCCCTATATATTACCAAAATAAGGAGTTCCTGTAAGCAGCACAGATAATTTCTTTACCTTCCTAATAAAAGCAGAGAAACTTGAAAAAGGCAGCCATGGCAAGACCTTGGATATATCTATATATATCTACACTAATAAAAGAGAAACATGCAAATTGGTATCACTCTGCTATGCCCACCAGCCAATCAGAGTGACTATACAAATTAACCCAACAAATATGGCAGTTAATTTGCATACGCAGGCACAGAGCAAAGACTGAAGGCTCCGGCTGGAGTGAAGACTGAAGACTGAAGAGGCTTGGCTTCTAATCTTCGTGCAATGGGCTTCTAGTATATATATAAAAAGCTAAGTGACCAGCTGACTGGCTGGTAGGTATGATGCACACTGACTACTAGGAGGCAAACACTCAACGCAGGAGCTGCCAAGCAACAGCAACTGCAGAGTGCCCTTTCGCATTCTGGGACCCCTCGGGGGATGTCGGACTGCCGGTTTTGGCCTGATCCCTGCAGGCCAAGTCAAGGGACCCCAACTGCCAGAGGGACCCTGCTCACTCTGCAGATGCCCTTCCATCCCCATTGCCACCTCAGGTGCGGTGTCCAGGGAGGGGCCGCAGGAGGTTGGCTCCAGGGCATGTCCAGCCTGTCTCGCTCAGTCCCACCCCACCAGCCACCTTCTAATTAATTTCCTTTCAGTGTGCATGAATCTGTGCACCGGGCCTCTAGCTTATTTCATAACGTAAATCAAGTTTTTTTTTTTTTCAAACTATAAAAGAAAGTTTATTTATGAAGTTAAAGAGGTAGAAGAAGTGACCTGTAGAAGAAATGGGCTCAGGAAACAAGTTACAGAGGGGAAAAAAAAAAGGACCTTTGGAGCTTAGGGGAGAGAGAGGCAAGAAAACCATGCCTGGGGGGAGCGGAGAAGGGATAGGGCGTGCTCCCTGGAGAGAGCCCCACTCCAGCTGAGGTCTCAAGGGAGGACCCCAATAGAATATTTATCAGCTTTCCCAGTGTGTCCTTTCAGGGCTGGCGCTAGGGCTAGGGTCATTAGTCAACACAGCTGGTCCTGATGTCAGCCATAGTGTCACTTGTCTGGGCCTGGAGCTGAAACACAACTGAGGTCTAGGTGTATTTGTTAGGGTCAGAGCCTCATTGTCCTGGGGCCTTAATGCTTAAGGGCTATTCTCAGGCCCCCTTGTTTGTTCCCCTCTAAGGAGGTCTAACCTGTATGGCTAGCAACATGCCAGGGGAGGTAAGGTCAGGGGAGTGTCTAAACCGAGTGACCAGTGACAAGTATATATATTTTAATTGATTTTAGAGAGGGAAGGAGAGGGAGAGAGAAATAGAAATATTCAATGATGAAAGAGAATCATTGATTGGCTGCCTCCTGCATGCCCCAACTGGGATTGAGCCCACAACCCAGGCATGTGCCCTGACTGGGACCTGTGAACCCTGACTTCCTGGTTCATAGGTTGATGCTCGAGCAGTGAGCCATGCCAGTTGGGCTTGAAGTTTTATTTCCGATGAATTCTAACTGCCAGGCTTGATACTTTTTATTATAAAACTAGAGACCCGGTCCATGAAATTCGTGCATGGGGTGGGGGCAAGGGAGCGTCCCCCTCAGCCCAGCCTGCACCCTCTCCAATCCAGGACCTCTCGGGAGATGTCCAACTGCCGGTTTAGGCCCGGTCCTGGGGATGGGGCCTAAACCGGCAGTCAGACATCCCTCTC